TTCCAGCCGTGATTTGTCATCATTGTGATGATTATGGCTTACAGCTCATGAAAACCCCAAATCCACAATCTCAGAAAATGAGAATCTTGTGAAAAGGTGGAATATCTCGGCTCAAAGTGTCCCACTCTAATCAGCTCATTCAGCCATAACACCTGCAAAGGGTTCCTGAGCCTTTAAATGGTCTCTCAGTCTGGTTCAGTAGGAATCACAATCATGGGAAAGACTGCTGACCTGACACCATCACTGACACCCTCCATAAGGAGGGAAAGCCTCAAAAGGTAATTGCAGAAGAAGTTGGATGTTCCCAAAGTGCTGTATCAAAGCACATTAATAGAAAGTTATGTGGAAAGGGAAAAGTGTGGAAGAAAAAGGTGCACAAGCAGCAGGGATGACCGCAGCCTGGAGAGGATTGTCAGGAAAAGGTGCACAAGCAGCAGGGATGACCGCAGCCTGGAGAGGATTGTCAGGAAAAGGCCATTCAAAAGTGTTGGGGACTTTCACAAGGAGTGGACTGAGGCTGGAGTCAGTGCATCAAGAGCCACCACACACAGACGGATCCTGGACATGGGCTTCAAATGTCGTATTCCTCTTGTCAAGCCGCTCCTGAACAACAAACAACGTCAGAAGTGTCTTACCTGGGCTAAAGAAAAACAGACCTGGTCTGCTGCTCAGTGGTCCAAAGTCCTCTTTTCTGATGAAAGCAACTTTTGCATCTCATTTGGAAACCAAGGACCCCGAGTATGGAGGAAGAATGGAGAGGCCCAAGGACCCCGAGTATGGAGGAAGAATGGAGAGGCACAAGGACCCCTAGTATGGAGGAAGAATGGAGAGGCCCAAGGACCCCGAGTATGGAGGAAGTATGGAGAGGCCCAAGGACCCCGAGTATGGAGGAAGAATGGAGAGGCCCAAGGACCCCGAGTATGGAGGAAGAATGGAGAGGCCCAAGGACCCCGAGTATGGAGGAAGAATGGAGAGGCCCGAGGACCCCGAGTATGGGAGGAAGAATGGAGAGGCCCGAGGACCCCGAGTATGGAGGAAGAATGGAGAGGCCCGAGGACCCCGAGTATGGAGGAAGAATGGAGAGGCCCAAGGACCCCGAGTATGGAGGAAGAATGGAGAGGCCCAAGGACCCCGAGTATGGAGGAAGAATGGAGAGGCCCAAGGACCCCGAGTATGGAGGAAGAATGGAGAGGCCCAAGGACCCCGAGTATGGAGGAAGAATGGAGAGGCCCAAGGACCCCGAGTATGGAGGAAGAATGGAGAGGCCCAAGGACCCCGAGTATGGAGGAAGAATGGAGAGGCCAAGGACCCCGAGTATGGAGGAAGAATGGAGAGGCCCAAGGACCCCGAGTATGGAGGAAGAATGGAGAGGCCCAAGGACCCCGAGTATGGAGGAAGAATGGAGAGGCACAAGGACCCCGAGTATGGAGGAAGAATGGAGAGGCACAAGGACCCCGAGTATGGAGGAAGAATGGAGAGGCCCAAGGACCCCGAGTATGGAGGAAGAATGGAGAGGCACACACTGCAAGATGCTTGAAGTCCAGTGTGAAGTTTCCACAGTCTGTGTTGATTTGGGGAGCCATGTCATCTGCTGGTGTTGGCCCACTGTGCTTCATTAAGTCCAGGGTCACCGCAGCCGTCTACCAGGAGATTTTGGAGCACTTCATGCTTCCTTCCACAGACGAGCTTTATGGGGATGTTGACTTCATTTTCCAGCAGGACTTGGCACCGCCCACACTGCCAAAAAAGCACCAAAACCTGGTTCAATGACCGTGGGATTACTGTGCTTGATTGGCCAACAAACTCACCTGACCTGAACCCAATAGAGAATCTATGGGGCATTGCCAAGAGAAAGATGAGAGACATGAGACCGAACAATGCAGAAGAGCTGAAGGCCGCTATTGAAGCATCCTGGTCTTCCATAACACCTCAGCAGTGCCACAGGCTGATAGCTTCCATGCCACGCCGCATTGAGGCAGTAATTGCTGCAAAAGGGGCCCCAACCAAGTACTGAGTACATATGCAGCTTCTACTTTTCAGAGGTGCGATATTGTTCTATGTACAATCCGTGTTTTATTGATTGCATGGAATATTCTCATTTTCTGAGATTGTGGATTTGGGGTTTTCATGAGCTGTAAGCCATAATCATCACAATGATGACAAATCACGGCTGGAACTATCTTGCTTTGCATGGAATGAGTCTCATATATTAGTTTCACCTTTTAAGTTGCTGCACTGAAATAAATGAATCAACTTTTGCACCATATTTTAATTTTTTGAGTTTCACCTGTGTGTGTATATATATATATATATATTTTATATATATTTTTAGGTGTGATGTGTGACTAGAAACTCATAACAACCATTTAGTGGGGTTTTCTCAAATTTCATTGCAATAGTGGAAATACGCTTTATACTTCCTCAGCAGCTTATCTAATTTCCTTCCCTTTTTTCTCATCCTGCGGTTTTCTTTTTTTATTCTACTCACTTTTCATATTTACACTGCAGTACATTTCCTTTGAATTGTGCAGCCTGCAAGGCTCTGTGAGGCATAGCTTTATACTGCCCTACAGAGTATATCTGTGTCACGGTCAGGGTCAGGGTCAGGCTCAGAGACCAGTAGCTATAGCAGCAGGCCAACCAACAGGATAGATAAAAAAGCAGGTCACCCTGACAGATGACGCAGGCTCACCTACCTGTGGGGTCTAAGCACTAACCAGTATTCACCAGAGCTCCTGATGGTGGGGATGGGTTTTGCTGCGTGTTAGTACCAGGTCGCAGTTCTCAGGATCGCCACACCAGGAGGTGAGCAAGCCAGGATCCAGTAGCAGATATGGCAGGTAGGGATCAAGCAGAAGCGTAGTCAGTAAACAAGCCAAGGGTCGATAAGAAGTGGTTGCAGGTTGGGATGAGGCAGAATCGTAGTTGAAGAACAAGACAAATGTTGGTAGCCAAGGTATGGACAGCAGCAGGAGAGACAAGAGCGAGATATTGGCTGGAGAAGGCACAATAATCTGGTAGACAGGAATTGCAGAGACATGGTTTAAATCAGGAAGGTCATGGGAGGAGCAAAGCGTTCAAGGTTCAGCAGAAATCAAGGCACAATGCAAGATTGTCCAATGGATCAGGCAGAGTACTTCCAGCATCTCAGGTAGCTCAGTGAGAAGAGTTACTGTCAGATACAATAGAGGTCCCGGGTTCAATTCCAGGCCCTGACAATCTGATTATGAGTAGAACAATATAACACACAAATGTAGCCCACCAGTCCCCTAACATGGCGGCTGAATTACTTCTTTTTTTGCAAGCTTTATGAAAAGTACAGAAAAATAACCGTTGCTCTTGATAGAAATTCTATCTTCTTGCAAAAAAATCCCCAGTTTCTATGCCAGAAGACAAGGTTGGGTCACACAATGAAACTCCTTTATGTCCTGTCCACAATCCACTTGAGTGGAGGTGGATTGTCTTCTTGGTCCAAACAGTAAAATTGACTATTTCATCACTTGTCCTCTAGCTGTATAAATCTTTGCCCATTGGGTCCCCTCCAGGATCCCTTCCCCCACTGTAATGTTTGTAGGATCATCTGGAAGAAGAACCCAAAGAATCAGTCACGTTTGGTAAAGTCAGTACACCTGGAGGAGGTACAAGTCACCCAATTCCAGAAGACGAGGTCAGGTCAAACTATGGAATTCTTGTCTGTCTCTTGTTCTGAACAATCCAGCAGGGTGCAGGTCAAAGGTTCCTTCTCAGAAAGCCCCCCAAGAATCGTCAAGCTTGGTAAACGTTAGGCTGGCCATAGAATATGCAATTTTCTATCCTTGGGGTTGAAGACAAGAAAATTGCTCAATTCCCCATTCAACATAGTCAGTGTTGATGGGGGAATCCCTCCCACTACACTATTGTATTCTGACAGCAGGAGGTTTCCCCGCTGTCAGAATACAATAATCACTGCTGGCAGATTTAGCAGCTGCCGGTGATCATACAAAAAATAAATCCAACATGCTGGTTGTACTGAAGTTTGATCAATAAATCAACTTCATTATAACCAGACTGTGCACAGATGGATCAAAATTCATCTAGTTCTTGCTGAACCAACTGAATTTCGATCCATCTCTGGATGGCTTTAGATACACTTGGAGGAGATACAAGTCACCCAGTTCCAGAAGACAAGGTCAGGTCATATAATAGAAGTCTTATGTGTCTTTTGTGCCTCACAATTTAGCTGAGTGAAGGTGTAAGGTCCTTCTCAGAAGAACCCCCAAGAATAAGTCGGGTTTGGTACACTTAGATACAGAGGAGGAATGGGTCACCCAGTTCCAGAGGACAAGGTCAGCTTATACAATGGAACTCTTTCTCTTGTCCTCCACTATCCAGCTGGGTGGTGGCATAAGGTCCTTCACATCTAACACAGGGGAAGAGTAGGAATCTTTGAACTGGGGAATAATCACAACCAAGTGGCCCATTCTTGGTAGAGATGGATGTTTGTGGGTAAGGAAAGTTTACAATGCAAATGGTGAAAGATGCTCTTGAAGGACATGGTTTATAGTGACACACTTTTTGTCATCTTTCAGCATGGGCTCTCTGGATTCAGTCATATGACATCCCATGATGTTTCGGAGCTGCCAATGAAGTCAGTACTGGAAGATTTCCATCAGTCAGAGGCTGTAATCGCAGGTCTCAATAGGGAGCAGGGATCTTGTACCATGTGTTACTGACTGCTTCTTCCACATTGACCAATGTCTGAATGGCTAAGGCTCTCCACTCCTGGCCACCAGCCAAACATACTTCATCAGTGTCGGCCGAACAGAAAAATGCTTCCCTGTCCTCTGGCCCACATCCCAATCCAATGTCACTTCCTTCTGTTATCCATCCTCGCTGACATACTAAAATCAAAAGCAATACATAAATTATACACAATAAGTGTGATTACTTCTCTGATCATTTACAATCTGACCCCATAGGAGGAGATGTAAAAATAATATTGCTGTGTTGTGTCTTCTCAGGGGTCTGCAGGATGACGCCACTCTGGACCTCCATAGTGGAATTCCCTCCTAGATTTGAGACTGCATGGGAGAACGAGGTGGTGGAAGTGTCATGTAAGGAGCAGTATGACAGCAGGACGTTCCATCTGACGTGTGTGAAGAAGTCAGACGTTTTCCAGTTTTTATTTCATTCTGAGCCGGCACCGTGTACACGTGAGATCTGTTCACTGATTACAAACCCAACAACATGAAGGGTTACATACTATATATGTCAAAAATGTTGCCTTCTCCTTGGTCAAAAGTTTTTTATTTTATGCTTCCAAAATGTATCCTGGTGTTGACTGGGTTGACCTTCTTTTTGCAATCTGTCTAATAAAGTGTCACTCCACCCAGAACTGACCCCAACTTTGGATAAATAGCTAACCTGTTTGCCCTTTCCCTTCCCTGACTATGTTTTTGCGGTTCCTCATCCTTTGCACCTCTGCTCCAGATCCTCCCTTTATTAACCTTCAGAGTTCATGGCTTACTTTTAGTCTGGCCTTGTATTACACTGGGCCCCGTGACACCATCTGTCTCAGTTGTGTCATCAGAGAGGGCCACAGGAGTGTCACCATTCCCCTACCAAGAGCTCTGGTGAACACCTGGTGGGCTCAGGTTCTGCCCCCTCATGGTGAGCTCATACGGGTGACTCACTTCTAGTGTCCCATCCTGTTGTCTGTACCATGGTTTGGTCTAGTATTGCTCACACACCTCCTCAGGGCTTTGGCATCCCATTAATCACCCTGGTAGCACCCAATGATGGGCATTGTATCTTCTCCATTCCAGGGAAGTGTCAGAGGTTGATAAATGTGGGACAGAATATAAGCATGTATCCAGAGAAGGAATATTATGGTCAGGGTGAAGAAGTGACGCTGATGTGTCCCCCTGGATATTCACCCAATTACAGCAAAATCCGATGTATAAGAGCCAACAGCACCAATATCTGGAATGTGACTGAGGCTTTCTGTATCTACTCGCCAAGTAAGTCATGCTACAACTTTTTTATTTTTTATATTGCTACTTAGAAAAAACAGGAAAAAAACAACAAATAATGAAAAAGAAAATAACAGCTAAGGGGAGAAGGAGGTATTTACAACAACATTTATAAAAAAAAAAAACTTTAAATTTATATTTTAATTTCACTTGGGTACAGTGCTGCATGACCGTGCAATTACCAGTTAATGTAGTGCAGTGCTGAATGGCAAAATAATGGTTTGGTAATGAAGGGGGTTACACCTTCTGGAGGGCAAGTGGTTAACTGAAATCATATATACTTTGTATCTATCTCCTGTCTGATCGATGTTTATAAACAATGTTACTTTGTATCTCTCTATCTCCCGTCTGATCGATGTTTATAAACAATGTTACTTTGTATCTCTCTATCTCCCGTCTGATTGATGTTTATAAACAATGTTACTTTGTATCTCTATCTCCCGTCTGATCGATGTTTATAAACAATGTTACTTTGTATCTCTCTATCTCCCGTCTGATTGATGTTTATAAACAATGTTACTTTGTATCTCTCTATCTCCCGTCTGATTGATGTTTATAAACAATGTTACTTTGTATCTCCATCTCCCGTCTGATCGATGTTTATAAACAATGTTACTTTGTATCTCTCTATCTCCCGTCTGATCGATGTTTATAAACAATGTTACTTTGTATCTCTCTATCTCCTGTCTGATCGATGTTTATAAACAATGTTACTTTGTATCTCTCTATCTCCCGTCTGATCGATGTTTATAAACAATGTTACTTTGTATCCCTCTATCTCCTGTCTGATCGATGTTTATAAACAATGTTACTTTGTATCTCTCTATCTCCTGTCTGATCGATGTTTATAAACAATGTTACTTTGTATCTCTCTATCTCCCGTCTGATCGATGTTTATAAACAATGTTACTTTGTATCTCTCTATCTCCCCCGTCTGATCGATGTTTATAAACAATGTTACTTTGTATCTCTATCTCCCATCTGATCGATGTTTATAAACAATGTTACTTTGTATCTCTCTATCTCCCGTCTGATCGATGTTTATAAACAATGTTACTTTGTATCTCTCTATCTCCCGTCTGATCGATGTTTATAAACAATGTTACTTTGTATCTCTCTATCTCCCGTCTGATTGATGTTTATAAACAATGTTACTTTGTATCTCTCTATCTCCCGTCTGATCGATGTTTATAAACAATGTTACTTTGTATCCCTCTATCTCCTGTCTGATCGATGTTTATAAACAATGTTACTTTGTATCTCTCTATCTCCTGTCTGATCGATGTTTATAAACAATGTTACTTTGTATCTCTCTATCTCCCGTCTGATCGATGTGTATAAACAATGTTACTTTGTATCTCTATCTCCCGTCTGATCGATGTTTATAAACAATGTTACTTTGTATCTCTCTATCTCCAGTCTGATCGATGTTTATAAACAATGTTACTTTGTATCTCTCTATCTCCCGTCTGATCGATGTTTATAAACAATGTTACTTTGTATCTCTCTATCTCCCGTCTGACTGATGTTTATAAACAATGTTACTTTGTATCTCTATCTCCCGTCTGACCGATGTTTATAAACAATGTTACTTTGTATCTCTATCTTCCGTCTGATCGATGTTTATAAACAATGTTACTTTGTACCTCTCTATCTCCCATCTGATCGATCTTTATAAACAATGTTACTTTGTATCTCTCTATCTTCCGTCTGATCAATCTTTATAAACAATGTTACTTTGTATCTCTCCATCTCCCGTCTGATCGATGTTTATAAACAATGTTCTTTGTATCTCTCTATCTTCCGTCTGATCGATCTTTATAAACAATGTTACTTTGTATCTCTCTATCTCCCGTCTGATCGATGTTTATAAACAATGTTACTTTGTATCTCTATCTCCCGTCTGATCGATGTTTATAAACAATGTTACTTTGTATCTCTCTATCTCCCGTCTGATCGATGTTTATAAACAATGTTACTTTGTATCTCTCCATCTCCCGTCTGATCGATGTTTATAAACAATGTTACTTTGTATCTCTCCATCTCCCATCTGATCGATGTTTATAAACAATGTTACTATGTATCTCTCTATCTCCCGTCTGATCGATGTTTATAAACAATGTTACTTTGTATCTCTCCATCTCCCGTCTGATCGATGTTTATAAACAATGTTACTTTGTATCTCTCTATCTCCCGTCTGATCGATGTTTATAAACAATGTTACTTTGTATCTCTATCTCCCGTCTGATCCATGTTTATAAACAATGTTACTTTGTACCTCTCTATCTCCCGTCTGATCGATCTTTATAAACAATGTTACTTTGTATCTCTCTATCTTCCGTCTGATCGATCTTTATAAACAATGTTACTTTGTATCTCTCCATCTCCCGTCTGATCGATGTTTATAAACAATGTTACTTTGTATCTCTCTATCTCCCGTCTGATCGATCTTTATAAACAATGTTACTTTGTATCTCTCTATCTTCCGTCTGATCGATGTTTATAAACAATGTTACTTTGTATCTCTCCATCTCCCGTCTGATCGATGTTTATAAACAATGTTACTTTGTATCTCTCTATCTTCCGTCTGATCGATGTTTATAAACAATGTTACTTTGTACCTCTCTATCTCCCGTCTGATCCATGTTTATAAACAATGTTACTTTGTATCTCTCTATCTCCCGTCTGATCGATCTTTATAAACAATGTTACTTTGTATCTCTCTATCTTCCGTCTGATCGATGTTTATAAACAATGTTACTTTGTATCTCTCCATCTCCCGTCTGATCGATGTTTATAAACAATGTTACTTTGTATCTCTCTATCTTCCGTCTGATCGATGTTTATAAACAATGTTACTTTGTACCTCTCTATCTCCCGTCTGATCCATGTTTATAAACAATGTTACTTTGTATCTCTCTATCTCCCGTCTGATCGATCTTTATAAACAATGTTACTTTGTATCTCTATCTCCCGTCTGATTGATCTTTATAAACAATGTTACTTTGTATCTCTATCTCCCGTCTGATCGATCTTTATAAACAATGTTACTTTGTATCTCTATCTCCAGTCTGATCGATCTTTATAAACAATGTTACTTTGTATCTCTCTATCTCCCGTCTGATCGATGTTTATAAACAATGTTACTTTGTATCTCTATCTCCCGTCTGATCGATGTTTATAAACAATATTACTTTGTATCTCTCCATCTCCCGTCTGATCGATGTTTATAAACAATGTTACTTTGTATTTCTATCTCCAGTCTGATCGATGTTTATAAACAATGTTACTTTGTATTTCTATCTCCAGTCTGATCGATGTTTTAGAAGACAATGGGGGTTGATTTACTCAAATTGGAACATTCATCATCTGGCGCAGCTCTGCGTAGCAACTTCCTTTTTTTGTCAGAGCTTAACTGAACAATCTGAAGTTCGAAGCTGGTTGGTTCCTATGCAGAGCTGCCCCAGATTTTGCACTCTCCAGTTGTAGTAAATCAGCCCCACATGTCAGTCTTTAGTACAGCAGCTTCTGTATTTACTACACAACGACATTTCTGTGACAGTTTGAAGTATGATGGGATGTGAGATGGGGGTGGGGGGCAGAAGGATCACAAGTACCACGCATGCCATGTATTCTTCCAGGAGGTTCTTTGATGTGTGTGGAGTACAAATCGGTTATGAAGCGGGGAGGTGATTATCTGGTTTCTGGTTCCATCTCTCATTCTGTTCTCTTTGATTCCAGCTGCCGTTCCATCCGTCTCCAATCACTCTCTGTCCTGGAGTCGAGTATCTCTTCCATCCATCTCCAATCACTCTCTGTCCTGGAGGTGAGTATCTCTTCCATCGGTCTCCAATCACTCTCTGTCCTGGAGGCGAGTATCTCTTCCATCGGTCTCCAATCACTCTCTGTCCTGGAGGCGAATATCTCTTCCATCGGTCTCCAATCACTCTCTGTCCTGGAGGCGAGTATCTCTTCCATCCGCCTCCAATCACTTTCTGTCCTGGAGGCGAGTATCTCTTCCATCCACCTCCAATCACTCTCTGTCCTGGAGGCGAGTATCTCTTCCTTCCGCCTCCAATCACTCTCTGTCCTGGAGGTGAGTATCTCTGCCATCTGCCGCCAATCACTCTCTGTCCTGGAGGTGAGTATCTCTTCCATCCGTCTCCAATCACTCTCTGTCCTGGAGGTGAGTATCTCTTTCCATATGTCTCCAGTCACTCTCTGTCCTGGAGGTAAGTATCTCTGCCATCTGCCTCCAATCACTCTCTGTCCTGGAGGTGAGTATCTCTTCCATATGTCTCCAGTCACTCTCTGTCCTGGAGGTGAGTATCTCTTCCATCCGTCTCCAATCACTCTCTGTCCTGGAGGTGAGTATCTCTTCCATCCGTCTCCAATCACTCTCTGTCCTGGAGGCGAGTATCTCTTCCATATGTCTCCAGTCACTCTCTGTCCTGGAGGTAAGTATCTCTGCCATCTGCCTCCAATCACTCTCTGTCCTGGAGGTGAGTATCTCTTCCATATGTCTCCAGTCACTCTCTGTCCTGGAGGTGAGTATCTCTGCCATCTGCCTCCAATCACTCTCTGTCCTGGAGGTGAGTATCTCTTCCATATGTCTCCAGTCACTCTCTGTCCTGGAGGTGAGTATCTCTTCCATATGTCTCCAGTCACTCTCTGTCCTGGAGGTAAGTATCTCTGCCATCTGCCTCCAATCACTCTCTGTCCTGGAGGTGAGTATCTCTTCCATATGTCTCCAGTCACTCTCTGTCCTGGAGGTAAGTATCTCTTCAGTCCACCATCTAGTCCAGCCATGGATGCAGCCCAACTGGAAGGGGAATGTCTCTGACATAAAATGGTGGATAGTAGAAAGTTCTGGTGGTGGACAGGGAAGGGCAGAAGGTGGACAGAGTGGAGGAATGAATGGGGGAACTATTATTATACAGGATTTATATAGAGCCAACAGTTAGCACAACGCTTTACAATA